GCTAGGGCTTCAAAGCTCTCTACCACAAGCTCAACAAAGTCAACGGTGTCAATGACCGTTGCAGCTTCAACAGAAGGGCGGTAGGTAATGCCCGGAGCAAGATGGACAAGCACGACTTGCCGCTTGTACGTGAGAGCTGCAACAGGGTCCAGGACACTGATCTGCAAGGGACCCTCAAGCAGAAGGAAGCGCAGGCAAGGAAGCCCGGGAGGTCCCCGGCACAATGAGGGCTGTGGGAGCAGTGACCGGGGCCTTGAGGCTCTCCGCAAGCAAGCTGACGGGGCAGAATGCCAGGCCGGACACAAGGGGGCCAAGCTGCCCACGCGGAACCAAGACAGGCGCAACCCCAAGATCTGCCAAGGTGAAGGCATGGTCCTCCGGGAGTAGGAGCTGATCCCACTTGGCATGCCCCTTCCTGGGGCCAGCTGGTGCAGACTTGGCAGTGGGGACGAGGCCCGGGGGGGGAGCCCACGGGTCATGCATGGTTAAGGGATCAACCGGGACCATCTCATCATCATCCGAAGCCAGGGAGACGGCAGTCTCACTCGAGCCAAAGCCACCACCAGGCAGAGGGAAGAGGCGCAGCAAGACATGCTGACCCGCAAGGTTTTCAGCCGTAGTGGTATCACTCACCGGGCGTCCCACATACGGTCGCACATGCGGACATGAAGCACATGCTCCCTCCGCATGGGGTCATGGATAAAGACCCTCACCTCCGGTGGCACCAGGACGGGGGGAGGGGGCTGGGGAGCAAGTTGGCCTGGCTCCTGAGCAGGGACGACAGCCAAGTCATGTCCGGTCAAGTCTCCGGCTGACTCACGAGGGAGCCAGACACGAGCGAAGGTCGACACAGCAAGAAGGGGCAAGACAACAGGCGGAAGGCGAGCTGCCAGAAGGACCAAAGAGACAGCAGCCCCAACAGGGTACGTCACCTCAACACTCAAACCAGAGGGCGAGTGGAGCGTGGATCGAGCAGCACCCATGCGGTAGGGAAAGACCATCCTGGGAAAGGTCTCCTCACCAACGACAATTGGACGGTCCCTCCGCGTCGGCCCGCACGGGGGCCTGAGGGTGGAAGGCAAAGTCGATGAGCTGATCCAGAGCTCCAAGAAAGTACCATCCACGCACAACAGCAGGACGTAGGGCAACACCCCGAAGCCGATGGCGCCACACACGCAGGACGAGGTGCTCAGGTACCTCAGCAATGAGGCCAACTGCACGCAGGAAGACAGTCCACGGAATGGCTGCCTGTGGTACTGAGATACAGTTACCCAACCCATGGAACACCTCCTCCAGTGGGAGGAAAGACAAGGGGCCGGACTGCCCCAAGCCACAGTGCCCACTGGGCAGGAGAGAAAAAGGCTGGGCGGCCATCAACCAGGGTGAGCTGGGCAAAGAGGCCCCTGTCAGCCAGGGTAGCAGCGGCCAGGACATGCTGCTGCGAGTACCGAGCACAGAGTGTGCGCAGTGGCTGATCATCAGGGGCCAGCCGCCTCTGGAGGACCTCCTGTGCAGAGTGCTGATGGGGCTCAGCGCCAGGTAGGAAGGCAGGGTTGGTATAGTGCCGGAGAACCTGGTCATCAAGCAAGCGGGCAAAATCCATCTCGGGTGCCTCCTGCACCTGGAAGTCCTGGTGGGTCCACGGCACAGGCACAGGGTCACCAAAGGTGGCCGTAGGAACAGGCACCGACACCTCAACATCATACCGCAGCAGAGTGGCAAGCCAACGGCGTCTGGCACATGGCCCAAAGGTGGCATGGTCATGCACCAGTGAGTGATGGACCCGGTAGCCAGCCCACTGGACAACGGCAAGGATGATAGGGAAGTGCGGGTGATCCGGCAACCCATCAACACACTCCATGAGGAGAGCCAGAGGGGCAGCAGCCCGAGCCCAAGCCAGGGCGGCCACGAAGGACATGCCATGGGGGTCCCCAAGCCCATCCTGTTCACCAGCCCGGGACCGAAGCCGTGGCCACGTGAGTGCCCACCCATGGGACACAATGCAGAAGACCACGGTCAGCCACATCCGCAAGGATCACAGCCTGGGTTGATGTGGGATCCCAACTGGTCAGATTGACTGGGAGCACACAGGGCACATCCAGCGCAACAGACAGCGAGGCAACGACCTGTGGCGAGAAATCCACCATGAGCTCCTGCTGGATGTCCAGTCCCACCAACTGCCTAATGGCCTCAGCCGCCTGACCCCATCCATGGAAGGACCCCGCAAACAGGTGGGTGACAGCCAGCGGAGCATCAAAGTCCGGGTCAGGGACAATCCAGACCTGTGAATCAAGGTCCACCAGGGCCACACGAGGCATGGTGCCAGCCACCAAGGACGCCCCTTTCACCCTAAAGTGGCCGCCAGGCCGGTTGAGGAGGGCGGTGAACTGCACCGGGGCTCTCAGAAGCATCTCAAACATGAGCCGGCGCGTCCGGGGCGTGGCATGCAGGTCAGGCGGAAGGCCAGGAGAAAAGGCAGAGCAGAGCCACTCCGTAGGGGAGATCCCAGCATCAACCCTGAAGTGAAGGTCCGCACGGCCACGCCAGGCCTCAGGATCGGGATCCTGAAAGAACACCACCTCAGACATCAGGGCATCAAGTGTGGCCAGGGTGGTGGAAGAAAGAGCAGACAGGGCCCTCAGCACAGCCGGGTCCCGGGACAACATGGCCACAGCCAGCAACAGGCAAAGCCCCAGCACACCAGAGACCACCGCCACACAGCAGAGCAAGCCAGGGGGGCCGCGCACAAAAGAAGGCGGGGCGCCACGGAGGAGACCGTGACTTGGTGGACGCCTGACGCACCGGGGAGTGTCGCCAGGCCCTGGGAGCCCGATCCCTGAGCCCTAATGGTTTTGGACCAGAACGGCTAGAAGGGAACCCTTTTTGGGGAAGACCATTTTTAGTGGGGCAGCCACAAAAACAAAAAAAGGAAAAAGAGTGCCACTGAACCACTGAGATGCTCAAAGCACCGCCGGCCCGGGCTTCAGCTTGGAACTCGGCAGCTTGCGCCGCCTGCCTCTCAGCCGCGCGCCTCCTCCGCTGGCGCCGCGCCGCGCTGGCCGTGAGAGGCACGGCCGCATCCGGTGTCTCACTCGCGTCCGTGGCGCTGGGTGAGGCATCTGAGGGCAAAGAGGCGGCCGCCTGGGCCATCTGCGCGGGAGGGGAACGGGTCCACAGCTTTGGCGGAGCGGCCAAAGGCATGGCATGGCCCATCGGCACGGCATGTACAGAGCCACGTGGGAAGCCCGCGGCTGGCACAAGGAGGTAGACTTGCCGCACCGGGCACGGCATGTGGTTCGCACCCGCCTGAGGCACCATCAGGTTGTGAAGGATCAAGGGAGGCGTCTGTTCACTGCGAGGTATCTTGAGTCTTGAGCCATGCGGTGCAGGCAGCGGGCAAGGCGTCGGAAAATCGCGGAGCTAGCTGTTTGAGGCTCTCTGCATCCAATTAACATGAACTAATCCTCACATCCTCATACAGATCTACGCTTCATAGCTTGATAAAGCTTCCAACGAGACACACAAAAGCCGGTTCCTCGTCCGTGCCCTCCGGCCTCCGGCCTCTCGGTTCCTTGATCCTAGTCCATTTTTTCCAAACTCAGCCAAAGTCCGCGCCGCTCTTTTCCTCTCTCGAAGAAATTGGCCTAGGCCCTGCGAAGGGATGTGACTCGTGAGCGGCTCCGTACACCTTGATCCTTTTGCCAATAGAATCCGCCTGTGAAGCTTGCCCAATACCAAAGCAACCTCCTTGGGCTGCCCTCAGATCCCCCGCCAAAAGTTTGACTCTTACTGGGTCACATGGGAAAATACCACTAAACACTGAAAGGCTAAAAAGCTAAGGGGATGGCTGGGAGCCACCAAGACCATTGCAGCTAGGCTATGTTCATTCACAGGGCTTCTCATTCCATGTTTGCTTGAGGAAAGGTGCCGGAAACCAGCGGGTCGTCAGCACGTTAAGGGCTGCATGCTTGCTTTTAGTGCTCGGCAGTCATCCTCGCTGACTTCCGGCGTGTGCAGGGCTGTTGCCTACGCGTCTCTGCGAATGAAACTCCGCAGAAGTCCCGCTCAAAATGGCGAACCCCCTGGAGCTTACTTCATTGAGCAGCAAAGTGTGATACCAACTGCTAGTACAATTCTTGGTTGCTGTTGACCCCCCTGCAAAAAGTTTAACTTTTTGGGGATTTAGTGGAAAACACATTTATTTCCAAAAAAGTTAAAGTGTAAAGATCCAATAGCATACTCTCATATCCTATACAAGCAGCACACTTGTGGCCATAGAAGTAAACTGTGCATGCAAAACAAGCCGTCCAAACTCTTAAATGGCTAGAAGGGGGATAATTACTGCTATCTCAAATTGGCCGCGATCGACGCTGCATTCAAACTATCCCAAAACTTAAGTGAACATAATCCCCGGATAAAAGAAGCTCCTCGCAGCTTCTGGCGTGCAACTTTGGGACTAGACCCGTGGAATCCATCCTTGCGGCTAGTCAATTGCGCATCCCATGTGGGTCAGGTAAGCCAGCACGTCGCTATATTTCCCAATCGTCACTGGTCGGCCTCAAAGATCTTCAGCCATATCTAGCAAATGTCCCACGTATTTGCCCATCACCAGTTGTCGGCCTTAAAGCTCCAAACATAGGTGTCCTTTTAGGGCAAATAGATGGGTTTCCCTGGTATATGATGGAACCACCAGGCAAACCAGGAATCGCCATCTATTTTTTCTACCAAACCAACCAAAAAGGACACCTATGGTTCCAAACCCCCTGTTCTTCGCCCTTGTAGATTCTTTTTGGTACTCTTTTTTTTCCTCCTGCCGGGGTGGATCCCCAAAAACCGCATCCAAACCGTTTTCTGGAGCACAAGCACTACCAAACCAACCAAAAAGGACACCTATGGCCTTAAAGTTCCGCCCCAGCACAGGCAAAAACCGAGATGTCACCACCGAATTTCCTGAGCGATGTGTCCAAGGGGCTCGCCGGCTCGCCAAAGGCCCGCAGCACTCACTCCTCCTTGGCTTCGGACTCCAGGTGCTTGTCGTATGCCGCCTCGGGAGCTTTCTGCTTGGATCTTTTCGGGCCTTTGCTTTTGGGGTATGTACTTTTACTCTTAGATTGGATTTGGCAGTCTAGATCGCTATGACTCTCATTAAATCTTGACCTGGAAAGCAACACCAGGTACGGCATGGTGACAAACCATGATCATCTCCGGCTCACAAATGTGGAGCCCCGTCCCTTTTCAACAAAGGGTTCACTTTCCATGAATACACGCTGGCGATCACTGGGCTGAGCACTTGCCCGCTGTCCAACAATGGAAGCTGACAGAAGGGTTCTGGACTGCAGCACTCGAAGCGATTGCACACCGATCCTATCAGCAAAACCATCTTGGTGGGCAACTTGGGCAATTTTCTCTGTCAAAATGGTGTAGATGGGCCAACCCTTCAAAAGCAAACAAAAAGTACCCAGGGAAATCATCACAAGGTGCAAGGGTCCAAGGCTAGACCACCGCTTGAGCCGCCTTTCTTTCTGGCCCCATGGTGCCCGGGGGGCTTTCATACTCTTGGGGAGGTTCCCTTTGCAGAAAGAAAGGTCCATGAAGCACCCGCTACGGGTGCTCCTCCAAAAGCAGCCAACCTCACGTGGTTGGTCAGCACAGGTCTTCCTCTTACATTGGCGCAGTTTGACCTTGAAAAACCAGGGGCAACGAGCATCCGCCAAAAGCGATGGGCAAAACATCTGGCAGCACTTGAGGCGGCAGCGCCTAAAATCTTTCACAGTGAACCTTTGGCAACACTTAGCCTTGGAAGCTCAGGGTTGATTAATAGGGGGTGTCCATTACTTACTTGCCGGGTCCAACGCAACAAGCTTTTAAGCGGAGTCCAGATCCTTTCATGGTCCATCACGTACATTGTATCATTGGACAAACGAACAAGCCGGGATACGGAGGGAGCGGGGATATGGGGGGGATTCCCTTGGCGCCATTTCCCATATCAAACTTAGTCAAGGTGCATCAAGTTGGGGAATCCTCCCGTATCCCTGGTTCTTCCTGTATCTCTGCGGTTTCCCTGAGTATCAGGCCCCGCGACGTTCTCGCGACACGCAGCGCCGAAAATTCCGCGCCTTGTCCATTAATGCCCCGGTGTCTCCGGAGAAGGTCACCTTCATCAGCCAGCCATCCTGACGGATGACGTCATTTCTATCCTGGAAAAATCGGACCCCAGCAAAAAATGAGATCTTCTTTGCCTGGTTCGTGGAAAACCAAGAAACCCCCAAAAAGCAAAACAAAAATAAACATAAAAACAAGGGGGGAGCTAATTCTGGGGAAGATTTAGGGGGCCAAACGGAATATGGAACAGCCGCCTGCCATGCTTGAAAAAAGCTGGCTGGTGCCTATAAACCATCCAGCCTATGGTTTCCTTTCAGGGACTCTCAAAATGGTTCATTCGGTTCCAGGGCTGTGGGGAATGGAACCCACTTCTGTGATACAACAGAAAGGGCTTCCCAAAGACGATGCTTTTGTCATATAAAGGGGGATTCCCAAATGTGTCACAGAAGTGGTTGCATCAACCCCGAGTGATCAACCACAACCCTGTTCGGGTCATTCCCTACCTATCGCACTAGTTTTCGCAGACTTTCTAGGGGTTGATTCCCCATTCTTTTCAACCATCGTTCTTTTCTCAAAAACCAGCTGTTTCCCCTGAAGGTTCTGATGGCTTTCTGCAAAGAAGGATCCCTGGAAAGAATGGAATGGGAAGGTACCCCAACGGCCTGCAAAAACTGTCTAGAGGACTCATTCTTTCCGGATTTTTTCAATTGCAAAACGACCAAAAAGGACACATATGGTCATTCCCGACCTATCGCAGCAGTTTTCGCAGACTTCGGACCTCCTCGGGCGAGCTGTTCACCAGCGCCGGCTCGTCGTTGAGCTTCGTGTTCACCTCCGTGACCTCGCCTCGGCGGTAAGGGGCGGTGAGGGGCGGTGAGGGACTGGCGGGGTGTTGGCGGTTTCTCAGAATGCGACGTGTCTTAATTAGGGGGACCCCCCGAAAAAAAATGAAAAGAAAGGCTTCGGCTTTCATTTTTTCCGTTTGGCGGTTTTGGCAAAATTGGACATGTCTTGTTTGGGGACCCCTCAAAAATAGCATCGGTTTTCTCTTTGGCTTCCCTGAAAAAATACCAAACATGGAATACGCCCAACAAAAAGACCGCCCCCTCCCCGCCGAATAGGGGGAACACCAGCCAGCTCCAGACATAGCCAGTTGTACCAGGCGCGTGTGACGGGTGGCTTTTGCACGAACAGCGTCTAAAAGCAAACGCCATGCTCGCAATGAATAACCAACCGAATGGGTTGGTTTTAATGAGTCTTCCATAGTCTTCCATATTATGTTTGTGGCCACCGCATCACAGCAGACATATTCACCTTAAAAGAAAGGAAAGCTCTGCTCAACTCGGCCTCCCTCCTCCCCTGAGGAAGTTAAGCGAGTCCAAATGACCTGCTGAAAGTGGCCAGGATGTTTTCCGTCGCAGGTCCATTGGAAGGGTCGGCGGGGGCTTTCTATCCTTACGCGTTGGTCCGAAAATGGAGCCCCCAACATAAGTGGCTTGCTTTTTGGCCCCCTTTGAAACAACACCACAGATACCCTCCAAACCAAAAGCGCCCATGTCTATGTCAACATTCCCCTACAAATGGTAGGCTGTCCCGCTTAAGCCCCGCCTTTCCAGGGTATGTCACAGTATGTCTTGCCCGGTTCCCTGCACGCGTCACCGGAAACCATGATTGTTGCGGAAGGCACGGCTGGCAGACTTCAGGACTCACACAGCTTTCTCAAAGGAAGGGCCCGCGACTGAGCCTAAGGAAACCACCGAATGGTCTCGACTCAAGCGAGCGAAGGAGGATCGCCCTCGGCCCCTTTGTCAACATTCCTCCCTTGAAGGGCCGCTGACTGTTGTTTTTGCCTCCGGGCTGCGCGCAAAAAAAATCTGGTCAGGTCCCTGTCAGATTTGCTCCAACCCGTCCGAGCGGCAATCCACCGGCGCATAAACTTCGCCCACAGCCTGCACAACAAATAGTGCTAGGTGCCTTCAAGAGCTGAGTGCTGACTGTGGGAAAGAGGCAGTTTGCGGCCAGGCGGGGTGCCCCAGGTCAAGTGAATGCCCTTTTGAAGGCAAGTATGAGGCAAGTCTTCGGAAGGCAGGGGCTGCAAGGTAGATGTGAAGGCGCCAAACGCAAACTCTTGGACCACACTCGGCACCTTCACCCCGGTTCGGGTAGCGTCATCCTCTCTCAGCCAAGCCGATCCCCGTCAGCACTCCAGGTAACAAGTAGCATGACGTCCTTGTCATGCAATTTACCGTTTTGTGCTCCGGATACACATCCGTGTCACATCCCACTCCGGCAAAAAACTAACCCGGCAAAAACCAACCCCCTAACATGGAACCCAACTGGAGGCCCCTTTTTAAAGGAAAGGATGGCCCAAACCAGCACCAATTCCGAAATGTGCCATGGCAACGTGGACGGGAGGCTCACCCAAACAAAACCAGAAGTTCAACCCCCCCCCATCCAAACCACCAGTTCATGGGTTTACCTGAAGAAGAGCCTAACCCACAAGAAAAAAACACACAACAACAAAAACCGCCGCTCCGCTTTGCCAACTCCGACTCGCCGGGCCGTTTTCGACCCCGTGGCCCACACCCAATACGCAAAGAACGCCGCTCCTTCATAGGTGGCCTTTTAGAAAAATAGATGGGAATCCTAAAAAGGCACCGAACGCCGCACGCCGCAAAACCGCGCCTTGACGCTCTCCAGGGTGCACACGGTGTCCTTGGCGGAGAACTTGGCGCCCACCTCCGGCAGCTCGCCTGAAACGCGAGCCGCGAGCCGGGGAAAAAATCCAGTAGCGATCCAGTAGTGATAGGTTCCCTTTAAAACCAACAGGGGAAAATAATAAAAATAAACAATCTTGAGCAAATGGAAGGTCACATCTTCTTGCAATCGGTGCCAGGGAGGCGGGGCATGAGACTTGGAATGACCCCCAGAAAGCCATCCCATGCTGGTGGTGTCCCTAAAAATTCCATTCAACCACATTCCCTACCTATCGCGCCAGCGTCCCTTCCGAATATCGACGAGAAACATGGCGTTTTGGCGCATGGGCTGTGACCACCATGTGGGTATGTCCTTTTGTGGAGTTGCCCCTTTCCTCAGATGTGTGGCCAGGGGAAAGACAGGATGCCCTCCTTTTTCTGGTTGGTCGAGATTTTTTAGGGAACCCTTCCCTAAGAAAAGCTGAAAACAGGGCACTGGGCAACTGGGGTTCTTCCTTAAGGCGGTTTTAAAGGACAGCCTCCCCACGTGCAAAAGAGAAGAGGACCAGCCATGAGCGCCATGCACAGGTGGTCCGTTTTTGGAGTTACCCCCTTCTTGGTGGCTCTAAAAAGACAGCAAGGAAGCACACATGCCTTAGGGTCCCCCAAAAAGGACATGCACATGCTTTGATGCGTTTTTATGCACCTGCTTGAAGAATTCCTTCATTCATTTTGCTTTCCGGAGCAAAATGTGTTCACCGGCTCTTGCGGCAATATTAATCAGTAAATTTACCCCCGAACAAAGGCTTGCTGGTACATATTGTCTGGCAGAAACCGCTGCGCGGTTTAGCAGACCGTCCAGAAAGGCGCTTGGAGATGTTCCACGCCGGCGTGAAACCAGAGTCACCAAAAACTCAAATCGGCAACTCGCGCAAGTCGCTGATGGCTAAGATCAGCTTCAGGGGCATCTCACCAAGCATTCCTCCCAACACTGATTTGCAAAAGGGATGAATTTTGGAGCCCTACCCCAGAACTCTTGCATGCGAACGTGCGTGGAGGCGCGTACATGTGGGGGCGCGAGAGGGTGGGCGTGCACGCAAGGGCGTGCGGGTGTGGGCTGGGCTGGATTTCTCTGCATTTCTGCTGCGTCCGTCCTGTCTATGATCTGGCTGTGTGCCGTTTTTTGCGTGACTCAAGCCGAAAAACAAACACCTCTCGCGGAAGCACGCTGGAAGCTCAATCTCTTTCCAAAGAAAAAATCCTTCGCAGGTTGCATGTGGGTGACCGGTAGCGCGCCATCAGCCCCTACGGCGAGTGCAGCTGAGGTGCAGTACACGACTTCTCCCAGCTGGCCCTGCGCGAAGTCAGAGATGCCCATGGTGGCCTTGTTCCCTTCACCTCGGATGGCCAGGTTACGCAAGGATTCTAACTTGGTTGACGTTGTGGTTTCCTGAAAAGAAGGATCCCTGGAAAGAATGGAAATGGAAGCTACCCCTAGGAGTGCTTCACTTTCAGGCGTTGGACGTCGTTTCAACGTGTCCAAACTTATATTCCGAAACCAATCCTGCTTCACTGGTCGGCTTCTGTCTTCGGAGCGTTTGCCACCTTCCGCCCAGCAAGCTGTTTACCAAAATGGCCCGCAAACAACGTACTTCTCTCATGTACCACACTAGGTCCTCCAGTAAAGAGGTTAGAACAAGGGTACCCATTTTTTTCTCCTGTAGTTTATTTTAGTAGGAGGGTTCCCCAAAAAAAGGGGTACTAGCACAAGCAAGACTCTCATTCTTTGGAAAAACGAGGAACAGGCATCCATAACACAAGCAGAGACATTGTCCACCTTCCCAACCGACCCCGTCACACCAGCCCATCCAAACACCACTCCTCAGAAGACCGGGGACCCTCACAACAACAAATCAACACGAACCCAGTTCCAGGCATCCAATTTGCCCGTGAAGTGTTGTGATTCTCCGGCCGCGCCGTGTCAAAGCTCAAGGCTCCCACCTATAGAAACGTCGACTTCTCACTTCCTGAGTGGGTTGGCTAGAACAAGTCCAAACTGTTCATTTGCCACAAAATCATGGCTGTGGGTCAAAACCCTGTACCCCTGGTGAACATCAAGGTGGCACATGGATGTTCATCCACCCCCAAAATGGCTCGCCAGAGGTGATGCAACCCATGGCCAAATGGCTGTGGGTCAAAAATACGTACCCAAAATGGAACCCTGGCAAATGGAAACACGACTGCAACCTGCGGTCCAATTCCTGGTGGTGACTAATTTTGACCCACACCCACATGGATCTACCTCAACAGTTTCAAGTCCGAAACGGGCACCTCGGGGGGGGGTTTTCTCGACGTCCAGCTGCCCCACGTCGAATCCAGCTGAATCGAGCGAGGAGCTCTTGAACCACTCGTGGGTGGGCGCATACTTCACCGAGAACCCCCTGAAAGACTGGAAGGACCTGCCGAGTTCGAGTTTGCGCTCCAACCAAAATTATCCCGGAGCTTTTCGGAGACTCAGTTAGCCAACAGACCCACAAATCAAAGGCGATCACCTTTTGGAACCTGAACTGAATATGGACCAAACCAGGAAAACCAGGTGACTAAACCATATTTTGCCCCACCCAGCTTTTCGGAGATGTGGCCATGGGCAAAGAAGGGCATCCCTAAGTTTGAGCTTCAGGGGGAACCATCCCCCAAAAAATGGAAAAACACAGGGACTGGGCGGTTCAAAATGGAGGGTTGGCCTATCCGATTTTCCATCATCCTTAGTAGGGAAGCAACTGCAAAGGGGACCGGTTCCTTGCGTAACCCAAGGTAAGGATGAAGGATTGCCCTGAAGAGCCCAAGCAGGAGCTTTTATATTTGGGGTCAATGAGTGAGGCCCAATCCTTCAGTTTCTACCTTCCTGCTAGGCATCTTGGACGCAAGGTGACAAATAAACTAGGTCCTCCAGTAGAGAGGTTAGAATAAGGGTACCCTTTTTTCTGTACTCTATTTTCGTAGGGGAACCCTCCTGCAAAAAAGGGAAACAAAAAGGCACTACTGGGGGACCTAGCTAAATATGGACCAAACCAGGAACACCAAAAGCTCAGATCCGGTCGACTCGCTGTGGGCAAGTGAGTAAGGCCATGACGCTATGACACTAAGCCAGTCCGAAACGGATCTGAGTCGGTGCTCAAACGACAGGCGAAAGACTTCGTGACCGGGACCGATCCGATCGGAGCCCTTTACCTCTACTCGCCCAGCTGCTGCAAAATGCGCCATACATCCGCTGACCCCCTACTGGGCTGGACTTAGAACCCCAGCAAAAAATTGCCTTTTTGCCTGGTTGGTGGCAAACAAACCAGAACCCCAAAAAAGCAAAGAAGCCAAAAGGGGAGCCAATGCTGGGGAAGTCTAGATGGTGGTTTGGATTGGTGGTTTGGTGGTTCAGGAGCGGTTTCCCATTTACCCTCTACAAGAAGGGGTTCAAATCCATTTCCGAAGCACCAATCCAAACCACCAAGTAGGGGGAACCTGAGTAAAGGTTCCCCAAACTCCAGCAAGAAACCATGGCGACTTAGCAGGTTGCAAACCTCTGCAACCTCCAACCTCAGGAAACGCCTTGCCCCTTTTCAAGCTGCATGCACTCCGCATTCCAACGTTCACAGCGCGGTTCACGACTTCCCGTCGAGCGCATTGGTGCGCAGAAGGGCGTCCGGAAGGCCAAAGGGTAAGACCTCGGCATACTCCGCCGCCTTGGGATCCGCGCAAACCTTGGCTGCTGTAACGACCCCTCGGCAAAAAGTGAATGACTCTTTGGTGGGTTTAGTGCAAAACCAATAAGATTTAATGGAACACTTTCAGTTTTGGTAGGTTTAGTATGTATAAACTTATGTTTGTGGGTTTAGTGGAGATTTCCCCTTTCAACCGGAAAGTTAAAGTCTGAAGATCCGTTGCCCAATAGCAGTCAAGAAGCTACGCCCAGGAACTGCAGCAGCCGCGGCATCCCGCCCAGCGAAGCGATGAAGTCGGAGCCGAAGCGATCGCTCAGTCGGGCCTCATCGATGCCTGGGAAGAAACAAAGTGGAGGCAACCACTGATCCCGGTAGAATGTTTAAGAGCCTGATGTTTTTGTTTCCTTCTTTTTTTCCTTTTTTTTTCTCGATGATCATATGTTTAAGAGCTTGTTGTTCAATGGCGTCCTTGCACAATTGTGTTTGGCAGATCAGATGTTTTGATGATCTGACACATCCGATGCAAGCCCAAATGGTGGAACACAGCGCCGACTCCTGCGCTCTTCAAGAATTGCCCCCCACACAATAACAACTTAAATGTGAACGGATCCCTCAGGATTGGTGTGTTGCAGAGCTTTGGTTCTTCACGTTGACTCTGCCAGGCTGCTTTGCTTTGTTTCACCACCGGCGAAGTGCTGGCACTGCAGAAGCGTCTCATCGTCCAAGACCCATTCCGCCTCGAGATTCGGAACCAGCTCCATCTGTCCAGCCGTGCTGACGGCCCACGTGGGCGCCAGCGGATCCGCGCAAGAGGTCTGTGTGTAAACTCCTGTGGGGTTGGTCACAAGGTCAGATGAATATGTGATGACCACTCGCCGAATTTTCCGCTTGGTTTCGCACTGGATCTATTCATAAGGGTAGCCAAGCAACATAGTGAGCTCAACTTCCCTTCTGGCCAAAAGAAAGAAAACGCCAGGCCCCAAACAGATCTTTGTTTTTGTTCGTTCTACCCCAAAGATGTCTAAAACCATCGTTGGAATCCTTGGTTTTTGTTTGTCCAGGGTTCTTACCGGTGAGCCCTGGATGTACAAAATGCCCCCCACTTGTTACCGAGTCCTTGCATGCCAGCGATGGAGAAATGCACCTTGAAGCTCCGGGTGGATGAGGCCATGCTCTCCGACTGCGAGTGCACCTCTCCGACGGGAAACAAATCCGACGACATCGCAGGACGATGCGACCGTCCGAGCCATCTCCCTTTGTGGAACCTCCTCCAGTGGCAGGTTCAAGGGAAGGATACCGCTCCCACTGTCGTAGCCTTTGAGAGGTACCTGAAATGCTGTTAGGTGCCATGTTAGTGGCAGAATCCGGTACCTAATGAGGCAATGACGCATGGTGCATCCTTCGAGTGAAGTCGCCGCAATTGACCCCTTTCAATGAACCACCAAATTGGACATCCACTCTCCTCAAGGTCTGCGAAAGTCACCCGACCTCGCCTCAACTCTCAGCTGAATCTAAAACAGTGAGCTCTTGCTTCTTTTCGAAGCTTGTGCAACTAAACCCTCCCAGAGGGTCCAAGCACCTAAGGTAATTAGACCCCTTCTTACACCCCAAAAGCCATCCTCAGGTACTTCAACCCTCTGCGCCTTGCAGGTCTTCAGTTGCGCGGGTTGCGCTTCTGATGTTTTCCCCGTTTCGCCGTGGCCCCCTGCCGACCAAGAAAGCAAGAATGGTGCCAGCCAGGAAAAAAAACGTCAGGGATCGATTCGTGAACAGTTCCCCCCTCCAAATGGGAGGTATCCCTATGGATTACCAGGAGGATGGCTTCTGAGGTTGGGGGGGAACTCCAGGCCATTAGTTGGCAAAAAGTGAAAGTCCCAACATCCGAGCAACATGCACCAAAGAAACCACCTGACGGCTTGCGCGCTTCTGATCGCAGTCGACGGATGGTTTGGCCTGACACCCAAACCGCCTGACTTTGCAAGGATAGCACGCCCCTAGACGTTGTAAACTCAAGCAAAGAAAAGGCCCAGGTACAGAAAGTTAGCCAAATACCTACCAAAACCAGAACCTTCCTATAGCACTTGTTGTATTGTTTTTTACTTTTTTTTTATAGTCCCTAGGGTTCCATGAGACCAAAGTGCCCCAGGCCTTCAAGCGCTCGTAAAGCTCCCGCGCCGCATTCGCCGCCGCCGCGTCGAGGCGCTTGGCCCAGGCATCGAAGCGCGGCAGCACCAGCGACTCGCGGGAAGCCCCATGGAAGTGGCCGGGGGGGGGGGGGCCAGCGGGTTCTTTTGAGGGCCTTCTTGCGGGCAACAAAAAATGGCGCGCAAGGCGCGTGTTTGTGTGTTTGCGTGGGTTCATTTTCTTGAAGTTGCACATCATATTTATTTGGTTTGTGCATTTCTAGTCGTGCGTGTATAGTAATTAGTAGCTCATGGACACATGGAAGAACAAAAAAGTGGGGGCTTGCTTAAAGAACCTCGCCAAGTTCGCGCGCGCGGGTTCGCGCCTCCTTGAGGCCGAGCTTCTCCGGCGTCTCCTCGGGGGTCTCTGGCCCTGAGGCTTCCACCTCCTCGGGGCTGGCCTCTGCATCGAACTCGTCCGGCTCGAGGGAGGTGTACTGCACCGGGGCGGAGGACAAGGCGTCCATGGCGGGCGGAGAAGCGCGTGTTCGCCGGCGTGGTCGCGGTTTCCTTTTTTCCGCTAATTTGGCCAGGTCCTCCGGTGGAGAGGGTAGAATGAGGGTACCAACTTTTTCTGTAGTCTATTTTAGTAGGGGAACCCAAAACCAAGCAAAAAAGGGGCTGAAAAGGGCACTACTGGCAAGCCGGCGTGAAGGGTGTGTGCGAAGCTGACACGAGGGATCACCAAACAAAGCATCATGGGTGGGTACGGGCGCATGGTGTGTTCCATTCCAAGGTGAGGTCGCCCAGAAAAAGATGGCTGGATCCTCGGCGGATTGGGGCGAACCCGATCGCCCGGCACAGCAATGAACAAGGAACACGGACATGGGTTGCTTGGCTGACACTCCACGAGTAGCCCAGTTTGAGGTGCTCCGATTTCGACCGCTTCTGAGCCCAATGCTGAAAAAGGAAGCGTCCAACATATCAATATGCAACATCCTTGGTGCCAAGATAATAGGGCATACCTCCAATACGCAGCGCAGCTTGAATTACCCAGCAAGCATGTTTGCAGACTTGCAAGGATTCGAAGGGAACTTCCTCTTTGTTTTCGGGAGGCGTTCCGGTTGACACGACTGGCTAATCAAAGTGATGAGATTGTTAATTGCACGTCGTGCCGTTCACAGATTCTACAGGGCTGTCCCCCACAATCAGCAGTAGATATCTTCAATCAACGCAACCTCTACCCCAATTCAGAAGGATTGGGCGTGGCGAATCGCTTGCCCAACCTTTTCCCATGGCCCCCTCTTCTGGTCCGACGAAAACCCGTCTGCGGCCCCGGCAGACGCGCGGGCGCGCGAAAGGCCTGGGCTGGGCTGGGTCGAATGATGCTGAAGCACTTGCGGCTCAGTTGCCGAATCAGGCCAGGGAATGACTGTCCAACTGCTCGTGTATGCAGCTCCACATCTCATGGCTTCAGATGCTTCAGGCCCAACTCTTGCGCCAGATGTGGCCTATAGGCCCGGGGTCGCACAGGCGATTGCTTGTGAACCCAGAATGACTCTGCTCCCTGACCTAACAAATGGTTCGCGGAAGTCGCGCCGACTGGGAAGGCAACTGTCCGGCTGCCAAGTACGGCCCGCAACGATTGCAAACCCAACCGGCATGGTGCCAACCTACAAGAGTTGGGCCAACGCTTGTCGAACCCCCGGCAAACCTTTGCAAAATCATGTTTCCCCACATCACGGTATTGTGCACATAGGTCCTTAGGTTTTGCTCCGAGTGGAATTCCAAGCGTGCAAGGCCAACCAGGCTTCAGTGCCTTGATGCTTCTGAGACAAGTGCGGCAATGGACTCAACACCGTGAGTTCATTTCCAAAGGCCGCCCGGGGCGACCTTTGAACCGGTGGGGGCCCAAACCAGGTGAGTCATCAAAACCAGGTACTATAATATGATCGACCCAGAGCCATGTAAAGAATTAAGAAGCCGGATATCCGCCGCCATTTATGGCAAGGGGATTGTCCCGTACTAGCCTTCCTCTACCCGAAGTCTTGAGCCAGTGGTAATCACTCCCCGCCCTTTCAATAAAAAAATCAGCCAATCGTTAAAATGATCGTTTTCCCCAGAGCCCCAGGCCGCCGGGTGCCAAGAAACTTCTCGAATCGACCAATTCCAAAACAATACGAAGCTGCCTGAGTTCTCGCCCAGGCCCAATCCCAGCCGGACTACAGTTGGGGACCCCAATGCGAAATCAATACCAAGCCAACACGAAACCAAGAGTAATTAGACCTAAACCTATGTTTAAAGCAATTCAGCAGCACGAATTCGATTTTTTACCTGGACTTCTGGTGAACTTCTCTCGGAAATTGCCGTTTGGAATCATTCTTGGGCCCGCAAAGGGAGGGTCCGACTTGGACAAGCGCGAATCCCCTACCTGGAGTCTCCATGACCCTTAAAAAATGGGGGTCATGGAGACTCCAGGTATATAAATGAATATCGTTCCAGCCAGCCCGATGGAGTTGTTTTTTTTCAAGGGGGCGTTTTTTATGTTTAGGGTGAAGCGATTAGGGTTGTCCTTGTGACCAACAGCTCACGCAGGGCCCGTGCAAGATCCACTGGGCGTCCGCTCCCGAGCTGCGGCGAACAGGGCCATGGCGGAAAGATGCTGAATCAACACCCGAGCTGCTGAGCCGCTATGCTGCACTTCCGCCGCTTGGGTCTCCCACCGAATAACCCAGCCCTTTAGTAAAATGGTCCACCCTGAACGTCAGGTTCCATGTTGATTGGTGGGACGGTAAGCCAGCAGCCAGCACAGCAATTCAATTCCTTCAGCAGCTGATGGGGATGACTTGCTGGGCTGCCGCGCCACTCACTCCCTTCTTCACTCAGAAACCCACTCAATCACGTACCCACGTACCCACGTACCCACGTACCCACCCACCCACCCACCCACCCACCCACCCAGGCGCACGCACTGCTTTCAACAGCAAAACAAGGCTCTTGAATGTTCATGAAGCGAGGCTTCAGTCTGTTTCACCCTTGGCCGTGGCAGCCCGATATGCTGAGCTGGACGATAGATCAGGGTCGCCCATGAGTTACGCCTTGCTTTTGGGGACGCCCGCGCCCTAACACTTGACCAGCTTGAGGCAAGCAAACCGAACAAAGTGAGCGAGTGTTCACTAGGAGAATATACCTGCCTTTTCCGGGCTGGGAAATGACAACTTCTGTGATACAACCAAAAGGGGTTCCCAAAAATCAACCCCCCATACAAAAAAAGGAAATTCCCAAAAGTATCACAGAAGTGGTTGGACAAACCTCGAGTGATCAACCACAAGCCTGTTCCTTTTCAGCACCTGTCGCACTGTACAATGCGCCGATTTCCGCACGATTTGCGGCGGTGGAGATTCGCGGTGGCTTGGCCACCTTCCTATGACTGGCTGATGGGAAACCCGGCGGGGGGAAGCGACCCAAGGCTTCGACACTCAAAATCCGAAGGGCAACCAAAAGGGTATCGAGTATTGACCCAGCTTCAGCTGACAGTCTCAAAGAAGTGCGCGGCCACCAGTCTCGCTTGGAACAGAGGGGTCTTTTGCCACCTGTGGAAAATTGTTCGACCCCTCGTAGTGAAGGACTCCTTTTGAAGGGGGTCGCCCATTTTCTCACCAAAGGTGGCAAAAAGACCCCCCTGGCTTGGAGAAGGAGGAATTCCCAGGAGGGGGCCTCCGCGTGCCTAAGCCATCGGGACGCTGGGCTGAGACCCAGCTCCATGTCATGCGCCCATTGTATCGGAGTCCGGGCCTGCGCATGGCAAACCCCACGCGGAAAATGGGCGAAATCAGCAGCCAGACGCAATGGAGACCTTCCGAGTTACCACAGCGCTGGTAGAGAAGGCCGGCAACTTGCATCTTTTACTGCTCTATACTCCCAGGCATCCAAACTAACAACCCACAACGAAGTCAGACTCACGGTCCCACTGCTCCATCCCGTAGATCAGGATCCGAGGCGCCTCTGTCACTGACAGCCTCTGGTTGAGCGCCTGGCGGATGGCGAAAACGTGGCGTCCGCAATTTTGCCTCGCGAGCGACTCCTCGCAAACTAGCGCCGCGGGAGGTCTCAGAAACCCCCCCCAAATAGCCGCATCAACGCACTTCTTCCGGGACTTGACTCCGGATGTTGTTGCACAACAGGGCTAGCCCTTGCAAATTCCTGCAAGCACGCAGCATGTTGGATGTCTGAAGCCGCGAAACCGCGGCTAAGATGTTGACCCCGCAAAAGAGACTTAACCACTTTCTGCGAGTCCAAGTCAGAAAGGCCGACCTGTTTTTAGTTAAGTCCAAAGATCCCTTGCCAAATCTCGCCCTCAAGTTCTTGGCAGCTGTTCTTCAGCTTCCCTCTAATTTGTGGTCTGGGTGGTTAGGGGGTGGTTTCCCATTTACCTTCCACAAGAACCAAGGGTTCAAACCCATTTCGAAACCACGGGTAGCCTCGGATGCCCAGTGGCCAGGAGAAAAAAAAATGGGCATCCTTTTTCTGGTTGAGTCTGAGCTTAAAGGGAACCCTTCCAAAAAAAAGAAGAAAAAAGGCACCACTGGGCAACTGGGGTTCCGAGCTATCTTGCAACATGGTGCCAGCCCCACCTTCCGGACAGCTAGCTCCAGTGGCTCCAGGGCGCCTGTGCCGACAGCTAATTTGTGGATGGCCCCTGCTAATGGTGATCCCATATGGCCAGGGGTCAAAAGCCCGGTTAGCCCCCAGTGAACATCCAATTCAATCCAACCACTAAAATAGGTTCTAACATGGGTGGTGAATTCCACCCCAAAATGGTACCATTGGTTTTGACCCACAGCCATATGGCCATGAATTTTCATAAGGAACCTGCTGGAAACTGGTTGGTGGGCATAACAAGCCCCACCTAAATGATGTCCACCAGCGGGTCCCGAATCATGTCCATATTCATCAGCCCCAGATTCACAGGGTGGTGTTCCTCTCCAAAAGCGATCTGATTGTCCACTAAACCCTGAATCGGACACCCCCCTACTAACAAACTGAGGTTGACTAGTATGGGGTCAATATTAGGAAGTACCCTCCTGTCAACCAACATGGAACCCACCACAGGCTTCCTTTGAGAGAAACCTCGTCTTCCAGGACCCCGAGACGGCAGGTTCCATGCCAGCCCAATGCGCCGGGCCAAAATGAATCTCCCCAGGTCTTGTCTCGGTGGCGAAATCTGCGAAGCCCCGCTAAAAGTGACTCACTTTTAGTGGTTTAATGGAAAACCCCTTCGTTGGCAAAAAGTTAAAGCCCTAGCATCCAAGCAACATGCACCAAAGTTGTGGAATGCGGCTGATTCTGTACAAAGAGGAGCACCCGACACATCAGGCAAGGGGAAGTACCGCGTGACGAAAATTTGGGCTTGCCGTTTGTTAGGTGCAACACAATGGTGGTTGTCCTTTTCTAGGTGCCCTCAACAAACAACACACCCATTTGACCCCCCTGCGAAAAGCAAGCCGTTTTGCGCCGAGCGGTTCACGCAGACAGGCGCGGAAGCGGATGTGCCCCTCCCAACCCATTTCTCTGATTCCTCGGGTTCGGGGCAACGCTGACGCAGCGCTACCCTCCAGACTAACATGGAAGCTCCCAGGACTTTGTTTTTTAGACTTGGTTCCATTTACAGAGGCCAATTGGGGGAGCTTCCATGTTAGCCTGAGGGAGTGTAGCAACCAGCGCCCTGTCCAACTCCTGTCTAAACAAACCACACACCCCGCCTGGGTAGCTCGAAGTAGAGCAACTCATCCAAGCCTCAGCTGCCCTGTGTCCACCTGTGGGAATCCACCAGCACATGACCCCAAAGAAAACAAGCACAAGTTGGCACACATCTACCCTGTCTTGGGAACCCACCAGAAACATCTCAAGGAGACCAGAACTTTTAGGCTGCACGCACTTTGCCCTTCCACAGCTGGCTGTTCAAACAGTCAACCGGGCTCGATCCCACCTTGCATGGCTGATGGGCGGATGATCTGCCCTTGTAAACAATGCAGGGTACTGTGGATGGGCGAAATGCTGCACCACTTGGAAACCATGGGAGACCATTTGTCTTTGTATTTACAAAAAAACCTGCTTCCAGGGTTTCTTGGCTGGTGAAATGGACTTCGTACCCATCCACAGTGGCACCCCTGCTGCAAGTTTGAGGTTTCGCTTGTCCCGAATGCCGCGTTGAAGGCTGCCCAAGGGTGCCTTGCTTCGTCTCACCAGGCACAGCTAATACTTGGACATCACTTCAGACTGCGCCCAAATCCAAAGGTACCCTCCCACCAACTAACATGGAAGTGCAACAAGGCCCTTTCCAAGAAGAAAGTAGTCTTTCTACAGGGGTCTGTGCAATTCCATGTTAGCTGGTGGGAGGGTAGCCTGTTTCACCACAGCCACTTTCTTTCACCCTTCTCAATAAGTATGAGGCCGGTGGCGAAGGCGTGAAAAGCAGAAACTACTCAAACCAGGGTCCAAAAATTGTGCCGAATGCTCTTAAACAAACCTGGGCTCATTCAGCTATTCCCATTTGAGAAAACCCGGTATTAATCTGGTTTACCCAGAACCATGTAAAGAATTAAGAAGGCGGCCGCAACTTTTTATGGCAAGGGGATTGTCCCTTACTAACCTTCATCTACCCGAATCGGTTTTGGTTGTGGCTCATTTCACGAACTTGAGGCACTGGCAAATCATGCCGTAGAAGAAGCTCTTCCCCTCCTTTTCTTTGGCCTGCACCTGTCACGAACCCCTGGGCTTAGCCTCCCCGAACTTGGCCTCCCGACTCTTGCACTTTGCAAGGTATATCCCAGGACCCTCCCACCCATAGGTGTCCTTTTTGGAAAATAGATGGGTTTCCCTGGTAGATGAACCACCAGGTAAACCAGGGCCTTCTATGTTTTAAGCAAAACCACCAAACAAACACCTATGCCCCCACCAACTCACATGAATCTGACAGGGGGGTCCTGGTTTGGACCATTTTCCTGTTCAAGGCTCCATGTTAAAATTGGTGGGAGCATAGGTGGCCTTCTGGAAGAATAAACGGGATTCCCTGGTAAATGGGAATAAACCCCATCTAAACCAGCGCCATCTATTTTTAACCAAACTAACCTAAAAAGGACACCTATGGGTGAGAGGGTATGCCTTCAGGCGGCCAAGTCATGCTGGTTAGCCTGCAAGTGTGCTCGCCGTGCTTGCTCGCCTCACGGGCAAACTTCTGCAGGGAGGCCAGCAGCTCCACCTCTTCGAACCTCGGTTCGAAGTGTTTGCCCTTTTTTTGTGCTGAGGCCACCGCTCAGGCGGGCTTTGTGCTGGCTTTTTGTTGTTCTCACCGCTTAAGTCGACTGAGCGGTCATGAGGACCATTGGGGGTCCAACATTTGGCTGTGGATGTCAAAACCAATGGGATCCCATTTTGGGGATTGGGCGCACCACCCATTCTAGAACCTATTTTAGTGGGGATTGGGATGTTCATTGGGGGTACGGGCTTTTGACCCATGCCCATTTGTCAAGCGGGGTCTTTTAAATAAACACATATGGCTGATGATGTTTTTCCTGCTTTGCGGGAGATTTGGGGAATATGTCACACAAATGGAGCCGATCATAGCCGATTGAAGAGCTTGATTGCAGCGGCGGCTGGCCCCTTCGTGTCAGCTCCTAAACCGCCAGAACGATTGCATCACTTGAATATTTGAGATGGCTTGGCAGGATTGCGTTATATGATGCAACCATTGACTGTCTTTCTCCTCTCTCTCTCTCTCTCTCTCTATCTTTCTTTCTCTCTCTCTATCTCTCTTTCTCTCTCTATCCCTCTCCTCGTGTGCAAATGGTGAGGCAAGGGTCCATGGAGTTGCAAACACAAGTTGACTAGTGTGACAGGTCGATGCTGCATCGCTGCTTGACAAGCCCAATTCTCATGTGTTGCGTGCAACGACAAGTTCCTGTGCCTTGGTCTTCTTCAGGGCTACTCGGTTTGTGCCTCTGAGCCTGGCAAGAGCTTGCTTTGAGATTCCAGGAGGCGGTGGGATCCGAACAGGTTCCCCCTATCTTTGCAAATCCCTTCTTCCGCCCCCGGCCCCCCCCCCCCCAGCCCTCGTGGCGGCAAGCGCCGACAAGCGCCCTCTGCTCCTGGGACCCCCCAGCAGGTAGACACTCCGGCCTCAGGCTCATGAAAGCGAGCCCTGGGTGTTGAGAGGCAGCTCTTCCGTCTGGCGGTCTGAAGTTCCGTGTTCCCCGAGAGGCCGCAACACTGGCGCGAGAAAACGAACTTTCGCGACCTCCATCGCGAAAAGAAAACCGACAAAAAACAAAACAAAAAAACAAAACAAAAAAACAAAACAAAAAAACAAAAAACACACTGAGACCCAAAAAATCATGTCTTCTCCTTCACACCGGAATACAAGTTGACCGCTCGGACGCCTTCCAATAATGGATCCAGTGTCCGGGCTCGCGGTGGCTTCCTTTCAGGGGAGTAGAGTAGCACCGAGGTGGCACCCAGCCATGTGATCTTGCGGCGCAGCTTCTACCACTGAACTTGCAAGGGGCATGCGTGAAGCTAGGTGAAGTAGAGACTGGGAGAGTTCACAGGGTACAAACAAGTAAAAAATAAAAATAAAAAAAGGAGAAAAAAAACAGGGGTAGTCCAGCCAAGTGTGCATTGGGACAGCTCGCCCACGTGTTCCTGCCATCATTCCCATAGCTCGCGGCACATCTTGGCGAGCCGCACGTCCCAGTCCCTGCGGCAAGGCGCGGTGACCTTCCCCTGCCGAACAAAGTTTGTGACCATCTGCTCCGTTGCCCCTTTCGAAACCAACAAATACAAGGTTCACGTTTTGGAACCTTGACGAAATATGGACCAACCCAGGAAACCCAAAAGGTCAGAAGGTCACCAAATCAGGAAAACTAAAAGGTCAGATCCGGTCGATTCGCTTTGGGCAAGTAAGGTGCCCAGCCAGGCAGTTCTATGCGGTGGCCCTCGCAGCTCTCGGCAAAACATGGCAGCAGTGCGTCCATCCCATGCCTTTGGACAAGGGGTCGATCCGGCCTCAGACTCAGAATGGCCATTGATTTGTTCAAGACCCTCAAGCTGCCCAAAAGGAACCCGCAGGCGCGCACGGGCACACACACACACACACGCGCTGTGGCACCTGCAGGGGGAAAAAGAAGCAAGCACTACTGCCTTAAAGAAACAAAGGCAAGCAACCAAACAAGCAAGATCAATCAAAGACACAACCAAAAGCAACAAAAAAAAACAGCGCTGTTTCTCAGGAGACTTTGGACATCTTCGGCCCTGGCCGGTCACAGCTGGGGACATCCTCTGAGGCTTCGGCGCTGCGCCGCCAGGTCCCAGCCCCAGGCGTGGCAGGCGAGGCTCAGGGCCTCGGGAAGGGGCGCCTTGGAAGGCCAGACGCCTTTGGCGCATACAAAGGATGATGCTGACCATGCTGACCCCATATGGCTCAGAAAGATGTGCCAAAATTGCACGTTGGTAAATGGAACCAAAGACTAAAACCTGCGTAACCCCTGCTGTTTAATTTTGAGCCACACCCATATTAACAAGCCCCAGTTTGTTCATATGGGGGTGTTCAGTTGGTTAATATGGGGTCAACACTAGAAAGTCTATATAAGGGTTATACCCATAGATGTCCTTTTAGAGGAAATAGATGGGTTTTCCCTGGTAGATGAGAGAAAACCACCAGGTAAACCAGGAATCGCCATCAACCAAAAAGGACACCTATGCGCATCTGCGTTCCATGGGAAGGCTGCAGCCGAAATTTGTTTGCTCCTCTGTTTTACCTGGTTTTGGGGCCATAGGCCCTGAAGAAGCCAGAACCACCTTATCCAAACTCAATGTGGGAAGGTTGCAGCAGGAAGTTGCGTGCAAAGATCGAAAAGCGACATTGATGGCCCCTTGTTGATCTTCAGCTTTCGACGGGTATACCCTGGTTTCTACCGGCAGTAGTTGGAAATCAGGTTGTTGTTGATGCACACCTCGTTTTGTGGCATGAACTGTTTAACAGCATGCGGTTGTGAAGACCGCGTGATCCTATGTTCTCCAAAACTCACAAGCTTGCTGCACTATCCCGCCGGCCCCCTTTCAAGCAGAATGGAATGATTCCTGCGATGCGTTGGATACAAGGGCCCTCCGCTGGCAAGTGCATTGGGTACTTTATAGGTCTGCACGTCTGCACAAGCGTATACCCCTGTGCCCTGAATCAATTCAAAGCACTCGGGAAAATCAACACACCCAGCCGTGCCCCTTGATTCTCTCAGTAGGGACCTAGCAATAAAAATTTGATCGCCTGGTTTTCGGCCATGCCTGAAACTGGTTTACCAAAAAGGGGAAACCAAAAGCTCCCCGCTCGATTCGCTTTGGGCCAGTGAGTTAACGTCTCTCCAAACGAGGCCGCCCAAACATGGCGCCTTCGCTCCCCCAATTCCCTCAGCACGCCTCGTGGTAGCCTCAAGGCGGGACATGAATTCAATTCCCTCGCGAAAAAACAGCATGGGAATGCACATGCTGAAACAAGGCACAAGAAAGATGGATTCTTTGAAGCAAACCGAAAACAGCTGAAACCAACAAACCCTCTTCTGTATCCAAGCCCCGGACTCTCAACAGGCCAGGCAACTTCCATGTACACTATGCAAGTCAACACATGCTGATATGACATCATGAGCTGCCCTGCTGAAACTAGAATACACCATAGGCGGCCCTGTGCACCCTTTCTGCTTGGCCCGCCCTGCTGCCAGCACAAAACATTCAATTCAAGACAGCTGCATATCGATTCGAGGGACATCAAATAAATGTGTGAAGCCCCGTTTGCCGAGTGAATTGCAACCACTCCCTTGTCTTTGGCTAGTTCCATGTGCGGCGTTCAACCCCCCAAGATCGCGCTCTTTGAAGGCTTGTCCCTCCTTTTAGTTGCAACATTGATTATTATATTCCTAAGTTTGACTGGGAAAGGCCAGTCTGAACGTACCACGTTTCAACAAGCGGGTCTTACCCGCTCCCCCAACAAGTCTTACTTGGCACCTTCAAGCCACTCCGCATCGTTGCGCAGGACATCGACGTCTGCCTGGCTGCACGCCGCAGGCGTGCAAACACATGAGCTCAATCGGAGAAGAAAAAAAAACGTTGCCACTCTGATGAATGGCTTGCAAGTCGAATAAATGAAAATTATTAGACACTCTGGGGGCAGCCTGGTTGAGAAGGACTCAAGCCTGGGCCTTCTGACTTCGCGGACGGCAAAAAGAACTGCGACGCATGCCAAAAACCGGGAGTCAGTAAACGGTGTTTCAGAGCAGCTCCCAAACAAGTTTCTTCGCGCCGGTTTCCAGAAAGGAGGGCCGAGCCTCGCTGGAAATATTGAAGTCGGGCTTAGAGCCGTCGTCAATGGGAAAAGCCCACCTGACACAGGCTATTTGGCTTCACATGCCTTGCTGGAACCCATCCAGGTGGGGTGTTGCCTGAATGTTGCGAGGTCGTGAAAATTGAACCCAGGCGGTATGTCGCTTGAAGGTCGCAAGATCATGACCTTCACTTCATCGGAGGAAACGCTTGGCCGACTGTTCCTGAGTCTTACCGTCTTTGCCTCAGGCGAGGCCGGCGGATGGGTCGTGAGATTTGTCAATGCCTGAAAGAAGCTCAACCTCAAGACGTGGGGAAAACAATGAAGACCTTGTAGCTGAACCGGCCTTTGGAGTTGCCTTTGGGGGCTTCACCCCAACAAAGAACCATACCATGAAACCTGAGCTCGATCCCCGGCTCGATCCCCGACTCTCAAGCCAGGCGGGCGCCACCAGTCGAAGTGCGCATTGTGCAGCTTGTCCTGCAAGCGCTGCCGCGCGCGCATGGGCGCGCGGAACCAGCGGCATGGAACCTGGGGTTTTTAGAAAGCTAAAGTTACCCTTGCACGAGCCAGGCCAGCAACAAACGGAGAACGTTCTTGTGGGGAATGCTCGACTTGACGCACCATGGAAAAATCGGGCCGTTTTGATCTCCCAGTTTGGCCCATCTTACAGCGCTAACAACAAGGCCACCAAGCCCAGCACCGCGTGGCCCTCATCATCAAAACCAATCTGTACTAACATTGTCCTCCCGGAATCATGCAAAGAATTAACGAGGCGGATACCCACACCCATTTATGGCAAGGGGCATAGGTGCCCTTTTCGGGCAAATAGATGGGTTTCCCTGGTAGATGATTAAGCCACCAGGTAAACCAGGAATCGCCATCTATGATTCGACCAAAACAAGCAAAAAAGCCACCCATGGCAAGGGGAGTTATCCCTAACCCTTCAGCTACCTGAGTCAATTTTCAGGACGCCTCGCCCACGGATCGATCGATCGATCGTTCCCAGGCGGTCCCAGGCGCCCTTGTCGGCGCGGCTCCGCATGGCGTGCAGCGTCTCCGCTTGCTTCGCCTTGAAGTTCTGGAGCCTCGAGCCGGAAAACGGGCCCTCTAAACTGGGTTGCTCTCAGATCCCCTGCTAAAAGTTTAACTTTTGGTTGGCTCAATGGAAACTACCACTAAACACTAAAAGCCAAAAAAGCTAAGGGGACGGCTGGGGGCCACCAAGTAAAGCACTTCGAAGGGATCATGGACAGTCGACATCTACATTTAGTTTACTCAAAGACTAGGTCAACATCTATAATTGGTATACTCAAACACTAGTGAGTAGGAAGGCATCATGGATGGTCACGGTTCATCCTGGTTCCCTTCCAATCCATACATTTCCTGTTGGAGCAAATAGATGGGTTTCCCTGGCAGAGAAAAAACCACCAAGTAAACCAGGAATCGCCCTCCATTTTTTCTACCAAAACAACCAGTAAAGACACCTATGGTTCCAACCCTTAGCCCCTGTAGGTTCTTTTTTAGTACTCTTTTGGTACTCTTTTAATATCCAGGGGGGGATCCACAAAAAACGCATCCAAACCGTTTTCTGGAGCAAGCAAGCAAACACCGAGATGTCAAAACCGAATTTACAACCATTTTTCCAACCAACACCACATTTCTACCAAAACATTGATTTGTCTACAAAAACAACAACTGTTCTACCAACACAACGATTTTTTCTACCAACACAACGATTGTTCTACCAAAACAACCAAAACAGACACCTAGGAACCCATCTTTTCCCAGCCTCTTCTCCGTCATGCTCTTCACCTCCGCGCCGCCTGGCTTTCGCGCCGCCCGGCCGTAGGTGGCCTGAAACGCGAAAAGCGCAGGGCGCTGGATGACTCGCCTTACCTAGGTCACCCTCAAATGGAACCTCGTGATGCCTCAACACAGGGGGAACCCAAGAAATTCGGTTTTCTGTTGGCTTGCCTTGAAACCAACCAGCAAAAGGTTCCCTGCAAAAACAGACCAACCTGTAGACAGTGACACCTTCCAAGGCCACAACTCACGTGGCAAACGTGTTCATTGGTCCCCGTTAACCAAGTGTTTTGACCTTGGATTAAGAAGATTCCCTCGTCAAATGCAAGAACACATCGTTGGATATCCCTGGGGGGGACTTTTTCTGACCAAATCTTTGTGCAGGTCTTTCATGCATCATGGCCCCTTCTGGCTTCTGACCGATAGCTCCGGCGCAAGGAAATGATTCGAAGTGACAGTCTCGAAGTGACAGTTCCACTCGTGAAGCATTTGTTTTGCTTGCGCTCTCTCCAGCCTTGCATTGGTGCACCTTGTTTTTTCAGCTGCTCTGATGCATCTTGCGACGTGCCGGTGCGTTGGTTCAAGCTTCCAGTTGAACAGCTCGGTCTGGACCCGTCTCTCCGTCTCTCAGGCGCCTTGGCAGCGCTTGCCTCCCACTTGGGCGGTCGCGGCTCTGC